GCGTCACGCGTCTGATTGCCAACCCCGTGGTATCCTGCTGTCTTGCTCCCAAGCTCGCCCATGATCCATCCCTTCCGGATGGCCTTCCGACACCACCATTGCGACTCTTCCCGCCGCCTGCCTTGACCCAGGGGCGTCGTCAGCACCGACAACAGCGGCGGCTTTGCCAGCGTGCGCGGCCGCAACTGGGAGCCGCCGCTGGACCTGGGGGCCTACGCGGGGCTGAGGCTGCGGCTCAAGGGCAACGGGCTCAGGTGATCGGCCGGCACATCGATCCCGCTTTGCTGCTACATGGGGTTTAATGTGTAGCATTGAGAGTCTTAGGAGGGCCGAGGCAAAAAGGTGCCTTGTGGGGTGCATCCCCTGCGGCGGCCCGCCCTTGCATTGCTCATGAAAACGGCGGCATGCTTGGCGTTTGCCCTTGAGTGAGCGCACCAAATCATAGGTGTTGAGGCCCTGGTGCGGCTTTGCAGATGGCGCCCAGCATCCGGCATTGCCGCCATGTGGGTCACGGCGATTGCTGTAGGCCTGACACAGTTTCGATCATGTTCGCTGTAACACCTTTTAAGGTACAAGGTCATCCTGCGCACCGACGCCGGCTGGGACGGCATCGGCTACACATCCTACTTTGACACGAAGGACGGGGAGTGGCAGACCGTGGACGTGCCCTTCTCCAGCTTCGACCCCGTTTTCAGGTAAACCCTCCCTGCCCACACGAGTGGGGAAAAGCGATCTGCTCATTCTTTTCGCAGGAAGGCGCGCCGCCGAGGCACCATGCCCTCTGTGACATGCCCTCAGGCGGCCCCCGCCGCCTCCGCTGTCAAGAGCGTCGTCTGAATTTAAACCCCTCAATTGCACCCAGCTAAATGCGCCGCACTTTTATCAAACGCGTCTGAGCAACCTTGCGTTCTGAGGCGCGCGCTTTGCTTCTGGACCCTCTCCGCACCGCCGCCTTGCCCCCTGGGGCCGACCAATTGCCACAACACCGCAGGGCGCGCACGGTGCGTGGGCCGGATGCCAAGCCGCTCGACCCCTCAACCGTCTACAGCCTCCAAATCATGCTCTCCAAATTCGAGGTCGACGGTGGGTGGCTGGTGGGCTTGGTTGTGGCTGGTGGGCTTGGTTGCTGGCGCTGGGCTGCGAACACGCCTGCGGGGATCTGCACACATTTGTTTGCCTGGTTTGCTCAGGCAAGCGTGTCGCCAGGGTCTGGTGTCCGCGGCTGCAAGCTCGCGCTGTGCAACAACATGGATGTCCACGGCTTCCACCCTTAGTTGCAAGCAGTGCAAAAGCAGCCTGATGCCGCGCCCAGTGCTCAGTCCATGCTGTTGAATTTGTCGCTTCCCCTAACCACCAACACACATGCTGCGATGTGTACGCATAACGGCCACCGACTAACAGGCAGGCTCAACCCCTCGTTCAAGGCGGGCCCCTTCCAGCTCCCCATCACGGAGGTCACCGGTTACCTGGCATCACCGGTGACGCCGCGTCTCGTCCATGTCAGCAGCGCGGGCGTCACCCGCCCCAACCGTCCAGGCATCAACGTCGACGTGGTGGGTTGCTGGGTGGATGGCTTGCTTTTTGCCTGAATGTTTGCCTGAGTTTGTGCGATAGGTTTGGTTGCTGCGCTGCTGGGTGAGTGCTATTTGGTGGCAAAATATGCGGTTGTGCGTTGTGCAGGCGCGACCTTGACCAGACGACCGCACGCCCTTCTTCCAGAATTTTGCCCGAAACCCCTGCAAACATCACACTTGCAACAGCGGCGCCTGCTGGTATTGCCGGCTCGTCCGTATCGCAATCCTCGCACAGCACCGCTGCTGGCGCGGGCAGGCGGCTGTGCCTTCCAACCCCCACGTGACCGACCACTCTGCTTGCATCGGCTCACTCGTTTGACACACCCACACCCACACCCACGCCGCGCCCAAACAACGTTGAACTGCAGGAGCCGCCCGCTGTTAAGCTCAATGATGCCCTGGGCGGCCTGCTGACCTGGAAGCTGGCGGGAGAGGACGCCATACGCGAGAGCGGGGTGCCGGCCGTGGTGGTGCGGCCGTGCGCGCTGACGGAGGAGGCGGGGCGGATGCCGTTGGAGATTGATCAGGGTGACGTCATCAAGGTGCGATGCACGCGCTTTTGCATGCTGAAACATGCATACGTGTGCGTGTGTGCGTGTGTGTGTGTGTGTGTGTGTGTGTGTGCGCGCGCGCGCGTGTGTGTGCTCGCGCGCGCGTGTGTGCTCGCGCGCCGGGCTTGGGTGTGTGCATGTGTGCGTCAAGGTGCGCTTGTTGATGCACCTTTGCACGTGTGCGCGCTCCACGCGCATGGACTCAGGACCTTGCATTCGCACGCGTCTGTAGGGGTTGCTGTTATCCACATGATTTTTGTTGGCTTTTGATCCTTGCAGTAGCTGACAGCATCTCCTCCTCTCCCTGCTTTATTTGCCACCCTGTCTATCTGCCGCCTAAGAATCATCCCCCCCCTCACCAGCGACCTCCCTGTCCACCCTGCTTGGCGCCTCCCTTGGCATATCCCAATCACTCAACACTCAGCATCATGTGCATCCTCTGCATCCTGCCCCTCCCCGTCCCCTCGCCTGCAGGGCAAGATCAGCCGCGCAGACGTGTCTGAGCTGGTGGTCGCGCTGCTCGACTCGCCTGCAGCTGTCGGCACCACGTTCGAAATCAAGTCGACGGTGCCCTTCAGCCAGCCCTGGGGGGAGGTGCGCACTGCATTGCTTTTTGTTCGTGAGAGGCCATTTTTGCCGCCGAGGGCCCTGGGTGTTGCTGAACCCTGGATCCCTTGTCAGGCATTCAGTCCACAGCCTTCCAGTCAGCCAGCCTGGTTGGGAAGCGAGGTTCTTCATCCCGCGCATGCTTGCCAGGGCGCAAATACCCTTTATCTGCAGGGCCCACGCCCCCACTCGCCACACCATCACCGCTGCGTCTGCCAGGAGCTCTGCCCAGGAGCTTTTGCCTGATCGACTACCTCAACCCCACCAAACCCCAACCCCTTTCCCCCAACCACACCCCAAACCCTTGCAGGAGGACGCCGCGCAGCAGCCGCCCCGCGACTGGCAGTCCACCATCCAGGGCGCCGGCCTCGTCCCGGGGGTCACGGGCAAGACCGTCGGCGGCGTGTACTCGGGCAAGCGTCCGGAGGCCGAGGTCGCGGCAGAGGCCGGGGCCAAGCAGCCCGCGGCAGCGGCGGCGCCGCAGTGAGGGAAACGCCTGTCGGTCGCTGGCTGCAGCTGCGCAGCCGGCCTTGTGAGTGTGCTTTTCCCGGCCGTTTTTGAAGCTTCGAGCAACCCAACCAAAGTTGAGGTGTTGGAGAGTAGGAACGTGCTGCATCGTGTTTGAATGGCAGCGGCTTGCTGGGGTGTGCGCGCAGGTCTGCCGCTCCGGTCACAAGTTGTGGTGTTGCCACGTGTTTTTGCCTCGAGCAAGTTTGAGGGCGCGCGTGCTGTGTCTGTCGCGTCCGTCCAGCTGAGGTGCTGCACCTTAAGTGCACCATTGTTGGTTACACGATGTTCCAGAACACAGTGAAAGAAACATACAGGGTGGCTTGAGCGACACGTCCGGTCAGCGCCTGCTAGCAAACCAATCAGCAGCGAAACTACGCCGACTCCAGGGCGGGCCCGCTCTTCGGGTTTCCAAGGAATAATCGCCGCAATTCCAGGCGGTTGATTTGGTGTGGCGGTTTTGTTAAAACTCTGCGAAATGGCTCTCGGGGAGTGACTGGGCGCCGTCCACCACGATCTCCGCCCCGGTGGTGAAGGGCCCCGCGGCCACCAGGTATGCCACCGCCTCAGCGATGTCGCTGACGTCACCCAGGGTGCCTGGTCGAGGGACGAGGGACGGTCGGCGAGGCAAGGCCGCTTGTGTGAACGGGACGGGGGGAGAAACCGTGGCGGCTCAGCGCTGAGTGCAATGGCTCGGCAACCGAATGCCCGCATTGCCTGTGGGGCCCGGCGGCCGGCGTGTCTGACGGGTTGAGGCGAGGATTGGCATCGCTGGCTGAGGCAGGGGGGTGGTCGACGCGGGGGGTGTGGGACTGAGGGCTTGGGGTTTGAGGCCCCTGCACCGAGCGCACCCGCGGGGATGGCCTTGACGGTCTCCTCCACGTAGCCGTTGGGCAGGCTGGCCAGGGCCTCGGTGTAGATGTTGCCGGGCAGCACCTGGGGGTAGGGGCGGGGGCAGCGGGGCGGGGCAGGGCATGATGGCGGCAGAGCCTGGCAGCAGCCCGGAGCCAGAAGGCGGGCCGGACGGTTGGAGCCCCCCCTTTCTGTGGGCCGAGAGTAGCACTAATAAGTTCAGGCTGGATGGGCTGGGGCCGCACCGTTCGCCCATCTCAGGTCGCTGCACACCTGCGCTGATTGGGCTGAAAAATTGCTAGCAAACCGCTCTGCCTTCCGGCTGTTTGTGGCGTTTGCGCAACCGTTCCCTTGCAAACTGCAGTTGTTGCCCATGTCACTCCATCCCCCAGCCGCGCGGTCCCCCAACCGCGCGCATCACGCAAGCCGTGCCCCCACCGTGTTGATGCTGATCTTGTGCTTTGCCAGCTCCACCGCGGCCGTCTTCACGAAGCCCTGCAGGCCGGCCTTGGCGGCGGTGTAGGGCGCGTAGCCGGACAGCCCGGTCTGGCAGCCGCGTTGGGGGAAGGGGGTGGGGCGTTTGCGTGTGTGTGGCCGATGAAGTGTGTTGAGCGAGTGCACGTAGGTGGACGTGCACGCAATTATTCAATCCGATGAAGCCGAGGCATCGCTGTCCCGTTGTTGCCCGCACAAGGCCAACTTGAAACCGGCCCCAGCCAGGCGGTCGGTCAAACTCTTCCAACACGTAAGATTTGACCGTGACCCCCCCCCCCCCCCTGCGCGGCGCACCCTGGGGCCGGAGATGGATGAGATCAGCAC